GACTCATCTGAATGCCTCTGATTGGCCACTGCATTCATAAGCTCAACGGAATCGTGTGTGATTGGTTATAATGTGCAACACTGTAAAAACGTGTAAAAAGAAATATGATGGGACAAATAAGCCCTAATATTAATTAGGTAATATTACTATTCTGATAATAATAATAATAATAATATCGTCTATTGGAACAACCCTACAAAATAGTAAGTATTTTTACAGGTATTATTAATGATTTATTCATAAATATAATATGTTTTGGGGGAGGTTGTATCATATAAAACTTTACAATCTACTTCAATTTAATTATTTTAATAAGGCTCTTTCCCCAACATTATGATATAATTTTAAAAAAGAAATTAAAACCATGGTCATCATAGAAGAGGTCTATTCAAGTAACTGTGTATGAATTGCATAATTTATGTATTTTTTAAGTAATTAGTATGAGTGTCATGTCAGTGACAAAGAAAAAAAATCAGTATAAATTCATAACCCCTTCAAATGAAGCGAGTGTCAGCGTTGGCCTAAATGAAATCTAGATGCAGATGTCTAACAGAAAAACATTACGTTTCAAAGTCATAAACCCTGTTACAATGATCACTGACAATCTACAAGCAGTCTGTGACTACGACGCCCATTGGAGGTCCTACTAACAATCAATTCCACACTAATGCTCAAGGGCCATGAGAAATCAATCACCTGAAAAGAGCACAGGGATATCTGTGAAGGTGTTCTGTAATCACATGACTGCTAATGGAGGCTATTCAAGCTAAAGGCACATGGGGTCCAAGCAAGATGAATAGTTACATTAACCCAGGCTCAAAGTGCGGGCCGGTGAAATGGCTGGCTTGTTTTCTTCATTGCTGCTCTATTAGCGGCAGGTGAGAGAACAGCTCTGATATGAGATGAACTAAACGTGCATCTCAGTCAGGCCTGTCAGCCAATGATTGCTGAGCCTGTAACGATGCTCTTCAGTAAAGAGTCTTGTACCTTCACATTGTCTGCATCCTTTAGCCTCTACAGCTGCTGTGCTTCAGTATACATTCATCATGAAATACTGTTAAATACAGTTACCGTTTGGACTTTAAGCAGTTGGCAGAATAGCTGTCAGTGCATTAGTGCATCCTAAGCAGCAATTCCAGAAAAGAGCTTATGTCTTATTGGTTGGCGAGTGTTTCATTGCAGCATGAAGAAAAACCTTTTTAACATGCTCACTGAAACAAAAAATGTTTTGTGATTTAAAAAAAGTTTAGATCTCAGGGTGAATAACTTTATTTTTAAAAGCATTATATAATAAAAAAATATTTTTTTACAATACGTTACCATATTTCTTTTTAATTACAATACAAGTCATTTTTGCATTGCAATAATAAAAATTACAGGGGGAAAATGTGCTTATTTGTAAATGAAAATGTCATCACACACAGTGCAAAAAATCCTAATGGTCTTAAAACAGGTTTAATTTTCTTTGAGCAAAATATAATTTCATTTAGAGAGAAGTTCTACATTCGTTTTAAGAGATTTAACAAAAAAATGGCCATGGTTTTATGGCCTCGAAGAAGTATTTACAATTGGTAAATTCTAGGGGTGGGGGAAAGGGAGTGAGTATAAGTTTTTTTTTTTTTGAACGAACAGAACCTTTTGTTAACCGTTTATCATAGGTCTTCTTTTTTTTTCTTCTTCTCACTCTATTTTGGCTTTGTTTAAAATATATTGAGAATTTCATATTGCTGCCTTGTTTGAGTTCATTTTGGGGTATAGATATAAAAAATATATATTTGAAAGATACTTATTCTGTAGATATCAGACATATGAAAGTTTCATATCAAACACGAGATCTTGAGATATAGCTCTAGCTTTCTACGGGAGCTGATTCTGGAAGTCATCCATTGAACCTGATTAGCTCCATACACCGCACAACAACAACTGCAGGAAAATAACCTGAAGCCAGGGGGAATTTCAGTTTGCCGTTTTGTTCTTGATTATTCTATTTCACTATAGGCCTCTGAGCCAAACAATATAAAAAATGAAAAGGTCCACAGGCATCTGCTCCCACCTCAGCAGACCCTGAGCATGGGCTCTCCGGGGACAGCCAGGTCAGGTGCGAGTTCACCAGCTGATGGGCCGCGACCGACGGGAACGCAGTCCTTCACACAGTCAGAGGGTCTAGCAGGCATCATTATGGGGGCCGCAGTATTCATTAACAACTGCTCCCTGTCCATATCCTCATTTGTTGCCGTATCCAGCAGCAAAAACGAGGGTAACTAGGGAGTCTGGGACAAGCACGCTTGTCTGAGCAACCTTGACACGGAACGGAGTCTGAGCAGAAATAGTCCAAGCTGTGAGTGTCCCTGTGTCACCGATTGCCTTGGGACCAACTGGCTCTGGTGGTTTTGCATGAGCGGAACCAGAAGTGGGCCAGATATATTAATTTGCACACCATCAATCACAGCACAAGAACACTGCTCTTAGCCATCGCACTAACCCCTCTTTTCTTTTTTCTTTACTACCCATCTACCTCTCCTCCCTGTTGTGAAGAACAATGCCCTGCACCAGGGAGTAACTTCCTCTCCTGCTGGCTTCAGCACTGTCCTGAGGATCTGGCCTGCATATAAACACACTTCTGCGCTTTGAATGAGGACACTAGAGAGAACGAGGACAGTATGGTTCCAGGGGTCTCGCTCTGCACCACGCAGTCCAGTAAAGTATCCACCCTCCAGAGGGTCCGCAGCACAAACCTACAATTCAGTGCTGGGTTTGAAGCAGGTCACAGATTCAGGGTCAGCTCCAGTTCTGTTAAACGACAAACTGTTTTTTTACGTGCACTACTTTAGAGCACTGATGCACTCAATAAAGTAGGGCTAAACTCTAGACCAGGCCAGGGAATGCTAAACTAGAACAACTGTCCACTGTAAAACTCACTGTGCATTCTTGGTTGGTAGTAGGGTTGGGCCGATAGACGATGCCATCGTCCATCGCTGATGGCTGACAAACATCACGATGTTGAACTGGCATCGTGATTCCCCCCCACATTCTGCCGCATCCCAATTCCGTGTTCGGAAAGGAAATTAAGTGTACTATGGAACCCCTAAAGGGAATAAATAGCCTACGAGATGGGAGGATAAAACATTTTTTTTAAATACTTTCTCTCACAATTATATCGTTGGGTAATTGTGGGCATCAGGGAGCCGCTACTAATATGCAGGACATTGAAACCGCTTTCGAATGCGCGTGCTCATTTTACTTTCACTTTCGAGATTCGCGATCACACGGACTCTATTATATCGCGATACATATTGATATTGAAATATTGTCCAGCCCTAACCATACATTTGACAAGATTAGATATTTGTCAGTGGTGCTCAGTATCTGCAAATCATTCGCCATTGTCCTATCAGTCATCTCTCCTTACTCTGTGTATGTGGTAAGCAAACTTTCATGTACTGTAACAGTCTACCGCTAGCAAGCGGCTAACCATGTCCCTTTAGTGGCGCCGTAGAACGCGTTATTCGTTTTCGGTGCCTTTCTGCATACAGATTCACGCTTCGGGCACCCCCCCTAACACCC